ACAGACCAGCTGTGGTTAGTGTTAGTTAGGTAAGTATAGTATCTTCCATTTGCTATAAATAACACAAAGAAAAATTTTGTATCAAAACTTTATTTATTAAACAAAAAATGCACCATTGGAATAACATTTCTATAAAAAATGAATATGAGACTGTTCTACAGTGATTACAAAACCCCTTTTTCCTTGTGTAGTAGTATACAAGATCATGTGTAGAAACAGTCATTGTTTTAAACTGTAAGCAAGTTTCCTTTCTCATAGAACAAGATTTACACTTAAATATTGCAATCACTAGTCTAATTTGGTTAACAATGCTAGAATCTGACAATTGAAAGAAACTCTTTGTAAGCTCAAGATACCTTTTTACTAAAGGTATTTTGTAACAACAAAAAATTTCTTTTTTCCACTAAGGCTAGTTAAAGCTGTAGTATACCCATTTCTACCATATAAACTTACCACTATCACACTAACAATTATCTTGAATTGCAAAGCCCTTTGACAAAATAACTAGCACTCATTTTAAAAATGCTATCCACATTAGTTTAGGTTTGATGTTATCTTCTTGGAACAGCCCTAGAAAGGGAGGAGGCATTGATGATGGAACTTCAGTGAAGGCTTTGCCTGAACTAGACATTTCCTCATACTCAGCAATGGACAATTCATTTCCAACATGGTCCCTCTGAGATATGGAACACTGCAGCTTTAACAGCCGTACTTAGATACCAACCAGATCTCCCTTTTTATCATAAATTATCCAAAAAAGAAGCCACTCTAAATAATAAATTAAATATTACTTATAAAAAGTATACCCCATACCCACCCACCCTTCCCCCAAACAAGCTGACAATTCACAAAGTTTAGAACTGTCAGGTTTACCCTACAATAATAAAAAACAGCATTTTTCCTCCTCTCCAACATTCCTTTCTTGCATCTGAAAATACACATTCAGCACACAGTGAAATCCCTTGGCCCATGCCTTTGTGTTGACGTCTTGTAGAATTTTGCTGTTGCTCTCCTACCAATAAAAAAAAATCAGAGGATGACAACGTACAGAGGCTCTCTACTGAGAGTAAGAGAACAAATCCTTCAGAGAGTGCAGCTGGAAGTCTGCCAAGTGAGTGTTATCCAATAGTGGCAATAGAGACCAACTCAGAAGTAATACACATTGGCTGATTTAGGCATGGTTTCTGGTCTCCTATTCAACCTCGCTGACCAGAAAATACTAGCATTTCTTTAGAATCAATCTTTTTGGAGTCAGGCGTTTGGATTGCAAGGTATACTGAGGCATTGGTATGTACATTATTTAATAAGATGGAATATCATACAAACCACTTTTTCCCAAAGTATTCAATTTGCTTTATAACACTGGACTCAAGTAGAAAGTATTTCTGTATAATATTAAAATAATTTTGAAAGTCACTAGATAAATACAAATTACGAGTGAAGTGTTGCTTCAATGTGATTTGAAAAAGAGAGAAAGTATACATCTGAGCATGTGATTGCTTCTGAATTTCTGTAATATTCTAGGCTGTGTTTTGTATAGGGGGTGATAAGCAGGCCAGGATACTAAGCTCTGGTTTTCAGGGAAGCCTGTGCTTACACGAAGGAAGGAAGGAAAAGCAACTCTGCTTCACATCTATTTTAAAGATTGCAAGAGATTGTTTTCTTAAAACACCCCTAAGACTTGGAAAATTTTCCATTTTCCTTTTTCTCAATGCTGGAAATGAACATTCCCAAACCATAAGACCTCTGGTTGGGGACACAATTTTATCTAACATGATGAGATATCTTCTTCAGATAGTCCTTTGTTTGAATTATAGTTTAGATACTGTGTATAAGGTACTCTATTCCATTTGGAGGCTACCTAGAGATATATATTCAAGCGACATCAATAGAAGGATCTATGGGGTGGGTAAGTTTCAGCAACCATCCTCAAACACAAACTGATAGCTTCCAGAAAGACCAGTGGTTAAGAGATTCTTTAATAAGAAAGCCAATGAGTGGCAGAATTTTGTTTTAGAATGTTGTTTGAAACACCACTCTAATGTTAGATGACTCTCCTTTTATAGCTGGTGACCAATGGGACTGAGCATACACCTTATTTTCAACAATTCTTATTCTGAAAAAAAAAGTAATGTTATAGTCTATCTCTGAAAGAAAGCCTTAATAAATCCACTTATATCACTGTCTTGCTATTCTGTTCAGATTTTTCAGCTGAGTAGGCATTTTAGAATACCCAAATGTACAGCCATATTATTTAAATAAAAGTCTGTTGAACAAAGGGGAAAGCATGACCAATTCCTTATTAAATGTGAATCATTAAGAAAACATTTAACTTTTGGCCAGAGTATCATACGAATATTTTGCACACATTTGAGCTATCTACATTTTTGTGAGTTGAACAAATGTAGAAATTGCTATAGGAATGAAAATATCTTTGTTATCAGAATACAAAGAAAAATACCAAACTTTTCAAGAGAAGGTTCTTGCTGGCAGTCCAGCACAATGTGGGTAGGTCTGAGCATGCCCTGTCAAGTTTGATTCTCTTCTTTCCCAGGGAGAAATGACTCCTGGTGACAGAGTGCTGGTAGGCTGTCAAGCTCTGCCCTGTGGGAGTTAGAGATTTATGAGCTTAAAGAGCCTGCCATGTCATGAACTAGACTCAGAAGGAGCAAAACAGAAGCTACCTCAGCATATTCACAGATTCTTTCTTGTCAAGAGATCAGGGGACCGGGAAATTAAAAAGTTACCTGAAAACTTGAGCAGGTTCATTGTACACATGTGAATCATTTCAGGGATTAGGGAGCAAGAATTATCCAGAAGTCATGGTGAACTAATTGCATATTAAAATCACCAGGTAAATGGCACTGGAGTTTCCTGAGGGTATTAAAATGGATTCTATTCTATATTCAAGGCATGGCAGTAAGACTTCTTAGCATTGCCAACTACTAAAATAAATCATTGTATTTGTTTAATGAAGAAACTTTCAAGAGCATGTGGCAGAGATGTAACTCCTGCTGAAAACAGGAAACATATATTTTAATGGATTTTAAAAAGATTCCACTTCCCCAAACTACTGACTTTGACTAGGGGTCTAGAATTTGTAACAATACTAATTCTTTTGACTGTCCAACTTCATGGTAGAAGACAGACTGATGTTGCAACTCATTCCATAGAATCTGAGATTTGTAGCTAATTCCAAAGTGAGCACTTGCAATGACCCTCAAAAAATGTTATCTGTTTGGGAATATTACAAAGGAGAGGCTTTTCTAGAACCTTGAGGAGGTTAGGCTAATTTTATAAACATTTTGTCTACTGAAGCAATGGGTTATTTCTAAGGATTCAGTATTGTGTTAGGAAATGCCCTATTTCAGGTCAGTGAAGATTTGTCTACCTAAGTACCCATATACTGCACAAGAATATTGTGTCCCATCAAATAACATTACATAGCTCTTCAAAAGGACTTCCAGAAAATCTTAGTAAATCGAACAAGCACTCTCGTCGAAGGAACAATTTCATAAATGGACCGAACTTTCTAATGAACCATTTGAACCAGCTCTCTCTTTGACATCAGATTTCCTTCCCGACATAAAACTGTAAAAAAATAATCTGAATTATTACTTCTGTTACAGTGCCATTTTGCTCAAAATATTTCATTCAGGGATTCATATATAATTACCCACCTAATAAAAAGAGCTATTAGGTTGTAAAGATCTATCCTTTCCATGCTCTTTTAAAATTATGACCTACTCAAGCTTGAAATCAAAGGCAGAGCTGAAAGGAATAATTCAGCTAAAACTCTTTCATTGGGTTTTCAAGTCACCTAACTGATAAATATGCAAACTAGCTCCCTTTTGGCAACTCAGCTGCATAAACAGGGATTAACTCCAAATGCATGCTGAAAATTCAGAAACTGAAAGGGTGCACATAACATGTTCTTAATTTCAGCTAGTTCCAAGGTACAGATAACATAGCAATAGAAGTTTAAAATGTTAACCCACAGTTTAAGACACTGCTTTGAAAAATATCCACTGGAGTTATGATGTGTCAGATGTCAAGTCACAACTGTCCCTCTGTTCCTCCCTGACTCTGACATAGGCATGGTGTGAAAGGTACCCTTGGTAATAGAGTCTGGTGGTCAATATGTATCAGTGATGCCTGAAATAACACAGTGAAGATGGTACAGGCATCACTCAAGAGCAGGGTCCCTTGACTCATGAGGAGGAGGGTCCCTCCTCATGGCCTGCTCTCAGGAAGTCTATTATTTCCACAGGGTGATATAGGGGACAGTACTGGGAGGCCATAGGATGTGTGGAGCTCAACATTTTACCCAAGGCTAGTTGCCAAGGAGAAGTCAGGGAGGGATGGGACAGAGGGGTGGGGGGAACTCTCCTGGCCAAACTCCTAAAGAAGATTCCTTGGTGAAGCTTTGACATGTCATCACAGTGTGGTATGGCAAAAGCCACTCAAATAGAAAAGCGCCCTATTACAAGCACATAATTACCGTGTGTCTGAGAGATTGCATATTGTATCTTCTTTCTGGAAATGTGCTGCTGCTGGCAGAATGCCACCAATTGCAGATTTTTATGTTCCTATATGCTAGGCATAAATGTTTACCAAGGGTGGATTTACAAATACTTGCTAAAATGGGTGAATTTTACAGTCACTTGTTAATATCTGTCAGTTGTGCAAGATGAATGACTGAGTTACAAACATAAGCATTCACTGCCTTTTGTTTGCTTATTTACTTTTTGTGCTGTCAGGAAAATATCCAATCTTTGGTGCTATGGAGTGAGAGAATTTCCATGGGTGCTTTGTACTTTAAAGTTGAAAACAAAATAGTGAGCTTGCACTGATTCACCATGGTATGGTACAGGCTTAAATAATGCACTTGCATTTTGTAAGACTAGACCTACACATACAAGACAGGCCTTGATGAAAGAAAACATAGCCATTCGTTATGACAGTTGGTCACTGAGGGACAAAGACCCAGGACTGTTCTAGCAGCTTCAACTTTGACTTAGCAGAAAGATGCATCATTGCTTTTGTTTAGGGACCTCATAGTCATCATTGTACAATTCTTGATGCCTACAAAGGAACGGATGCTTATTCCTTCTGAACTGCTTCAGACCTTCCTTGACTGAGTGGTCCTGTATACCAGTTAGAGTCCTTGGACACAGGTGTGCTGTTTATGGGTAATTGGTATGCTGCAAAATTCCCAGAAAATTCACCTCCACAATTCGGCAGTAGGTATCAAAAGGCCGAGCCTGTGATGGCATTAAGTTGCTTCATTAGCCCTTCCAGACTTGCCATTTGTTCACTCAAATCATCCTGTTCATACACCTATAGACGGAATGAGAGCAGAATTAGTAAATTTTGATACATTCCTTTGTGAAGGCAGGGGCCATAGCTACTTGGGTCACTCAGTATTTTCAAGTCTGACACAGAGGCCAGTTACCAGGGTTGTCTTCAGAGTGTATTAACTGAATGAGGAAGCTGATAAGAAAAGAAGGGTGTGGTGAATAATTGTATTCTGTTTCCTGGATGTCATCCCTAAAATAAGGAAAAAGTTTCACTGCAAAAAATATCCTACTTTGAATCAAGTTCTACCATCCACAAGCTTTGTTGTGTTGGCAAATTTGAATTTCTCTGATGCATTGTTTTTTTCATCTCCAAAATTATGATAATGGTATCTATTTCATAGGCCATCCTGAGCATCCTATGTTATGTTTTATGCCTGTCATGGGGTCTGGCATGTGGTGTGTATTCAATACATTATCTCTTTTTTCCTTTTTGGTAACTTTTCATCAGGACATAAGCAGAATTTACATAACCAAGTTTTTTTTCCTTTATAACACGGCTTAGGTGTATGTTTTGTGTGGGGCATGAAGGCCTTTGCCTGGAATGGTGAGAAGCCTGGGGATTATGGCTTTAGTTTGTGTATGGAAAGAAAGTTCATGCCTCATATCAGAGTTAGCATTGTGTATAGGTGTGAAGGGCCTCCTCCAGCAGGACTTGAACAGTGGATAAAAGAAGAGGTTGAACTGCAGAAATTTTAGTGAATACGCTCTGTCTGGCTCTCATTCACTATAAATTTTCATTCTAGTTTTATGCTGAGCATTCAGAATCTGATATGTATTTTGTATGTAAAACACATTTTAATTTGGAAAAGTAACATTTCAAGAAACCAATATCTACATGTGGCAATCTACTGCTGTATTGTATGGTGAGAGCTAGCTGATTCAAGAAAAACAACCCAAACAACTAAAACATGCCGTTTAATAAGTAATAGAATTCTTAGTTATCACAGATTCCCAGGTTACAAACACAGGGATTTTGGCTCAGTAATCCCTGTGGGCTCAAATTCCAGTTGTTTTATATGCTTTCTCTTTTTGAGTTAGTCTCTTTATTTGTCAAATGGGAATAACAAGTTTGCCTAAGTGAGTAATTAAAAGCACACAACAAATCTGCTGTCCAGTGACAAGTATTCAATAAATATAGGCTTCTTTCCCCCCTTTCTTGATCAATAGTTTGTTTGCTTAATATAGACATAGTCTTCCTGATTATTCTTGGCTCATCCATTTGACTGATTTGATAATTAAAATAAAAAAGCCTGAGCCATGATTTCTATTCTGTTTAACCAAGATACATTTTTTGGTACCATGTTCACAGAGCTACATATATAGGCTCATATATATGCATGTCTATATATGTAACAGCCTGTAATATATATGCACATATATATGTATGTATATGTATGTACATAATATATAAGGCAAGAAGTTGGAATGAGGTGATTACATTTAAAAAAAATTTTTTTTTAGCTTTTTGGTTTCTTTTCCTTGAATTAACTAGGTTTCATTATACAATAGAGCAATATAGTAGCTACTAGTTTCTTGAAATGTGACTATTCCAAATTAAAATGTGTTTTACATATAAACTACACATCATATTTTGAATGCTTAGCAAAAAATTATAAAGGAAATTATCATACAGACAATTTTTGTATTTATTACATGACAATAATATTTTGGAAACACTGGGCTAGTTAAAAGGATTATTAAAATAAATTTCAACTTTTTTTACACCTTTTATTGTGGCTCCTAGAAAATTTAAATTATGCATGTGTCCACATTATATTTCTATAGGATATTGCTAATCTAGACTATGTGCCCCATTTCTATATTTTCTTTAGTATGTATTTCTTACTGTTTTTAATATTGTATCTTTTGCTGGATGACCTGACATCATCCCTCATGAGAAGAAAAACATTATATAAATTTATGAGGTTGACATAATTTGACATATGGCCATAAACCTTGGGAGTAAACAAATATTGAAATAAAGGACTATATTCCTACAAAAAAGCATTATGTTCTTTTAAATTTGATTGTTTAAAAAAGTATGTTAATTATATAACATCCTTCTGCCAAACTTTCACCCACATATACACATATCAACTTTCTTGGTTTCTACGTGGTAAAAATACTTTACTGTTTGTAGTGCTAAAAAAATAAAGTCATGAGAAAATATTATTCATCACTGAAATGTAATGATTTTTTCTTCTTGACAACCAGATTTCAAAAGAAAATATAATTTTATGAATGGAAGTGGTAGTTGCATGACTCACACACAAAGCACTGATTTTGTGTGATCTGTTTATTCTTTGATACTGGTACAATGTATTTGTCATGAAAATATTTGAAAACTTTGTGTAAATCTCTATTCATGCATGAAGAAAACAGAAGCTTTTTGAAAGGGGCAGATCAATTCTCATTTCACAATCCATGGTTGAAAAAGATCCAAATGTAATAACAAAATAGAATTTTCCCTGTTTTTTTCATATTTTCCCCTTCCCTCTGATATGTTAATTCTTTAGCCTTTTAAAAAATGTTTTCTCCTGAAAGCTATTCAGAAACATGATGTTTTCCAAATAATTGCCTTTAAGCAACATATTTTTGATTCTTCTTTATAGTACATTTTTAGTTGAAATGGTTTTTTTCTCAAAATTTTGATTTTTTTCTATTCTTACTGATTTTCCCTCTGAGTTTTCTAATTGAATTTTTAGTTTATTTCCTTAGAACAGAACTTTTTCCCTTCTTATATAATGAAACCCACACATCTGCAGTTGATCTGCATGTATTTCTAAGACTTGCCTTTAGTATTAATAATTTTACTTATTTAACTAAAACCCTGATATAATTTTTTTCATTCAGTTTTTTTCTCTTCACTTTCAAGTGCAGGCAAGCAACAATAAGGACAGCTGTTTGGGGTTATAGTGAGAACTAACTGGTTTAGATGTATTGCACAGCTCTTGATGCAGCATGAATTTGAAGGATGCCCTTACACTGGCTGGATCCTCTGTTGGTTTGTGACTCTCCTCAGACACTTCAGGGGCTGTTGGCACAGACACAGGAAGCAATGGGGATCTTGCTTTTCCAGCCAACCCAAGAGAGGCTGTTTTAACATGAGTCTTAGGAAGAGTAGGCCCTGGAATAGAAAACACAGAGTGATGAAAGTAATACATGAAACACTCCAAAGAACAATCTCTAAAGCACATAAACCAATTTTAGGTTATTGTTTATTCTGTAATGTAAAGATTAAGTCTAACAATGAATTGGTTCATTTTATTTCTACTGAATGGAAGACAGGTTGTGATTAGGGCTCTCCCAATGAAACTCCACTAATCATATGAATTTCAACTGTGTTCCAGATCATGCTGTGAAAGTTGCTTGGGAGCTCTGGACTGTTCATCACACCCTACAGAGAGAGTGTCAGGAAAGCTCATTTGCTGGCATGCTCCACTTTGGACCAGAAAGCCCTACTCAAAACCACCTAAATAACAACCTCTTAAATTATGCAATAAAGCCAATGAAGATCTGTGCACGTAGAAGAGCTATTTACTCTGGTTGGCAAATGAATATTAGATATTACAGTAAAACAAAGTCCTTCATGGTTGACCTGAGAACCTGTGAGGAATTGCTAAGTCTCTGTTACATGACATTTCTGTCTACTATAAACAAGGGCCATTGTAAACATTTGCTTTGTAAATCCTGCTTAGCTTATAGCAGCACTACAACTTTGTTCCCATAGCCTAAAATAAAACTTGATAAAGCCTTGTTGAATCAGCACCTCATATAACTAGGGAGTTTTGACACTCTTGGCAATGGTAACCAAGAAATTAGCAGAAAACATATCAGAGTTTAGTCATGAAAAGAAGTTTGCCTCAGTTCTCTTCAATCACCAATAATGACACATTAGTTTTAATGATCCTAAGAGGTACTACATTCTTCCCCTCCCCATTTTTGTATACAATTTGGAAAATAGAATTCTGGGTAGTAAAATGCAGAGGTTAATGCACCTATAGCAAAGAAATAGAGGTCCATTGCTTATTGGGAAATAATGCAAATAATCTAATAAATCAATAATTTGCCAGATGCTAAGTTATTGTAGTTGCAAAATCCTAATATAAACACCTTTTCCTCTGCCATGACCTAACATGTAGCTCCATCATATTTATGGTTTTTCACTCTTAAACTTCAGGGATCAAAAGTCTGCAATTGGATTGAAGAATTTGGAAATGTATAGTCAATCAGTTTATCTTGCAGTCAGATCCAAGAAGATCATCTACATAGGACTTGTGCCATCTCGATTAACCAAACCTATCTTGCCCGTTTTTTCATCAGTAAAGTGAGATTGATAATTTGTGACCATTAAATGAGATTATGTATTTAAAGGGACTGATATTTAGTAACTTGTTCAAACAGGGTTAATGTTGATATTTAATAATTAACATAGTAAGTATTATTATTCCCAGTTCACACATGAGGATATGAAAATGGAGAAAAATTAAGTAATGCACCAAGTTCACACATTTAGAAAAGGACAGAAAGGTAAAGGGTTGCACTGTTGTGTCGAACTCCACTGAGCAAATGAAGTTTTCAAGGCTAATGTGTGTATCTAACTCATCCAAACGAGCATTTCCAGAAAGACATGTAATGAACATGAAGTCTGATTCAAAGTGTATTTAATGTGAGAGTTGAAACCATTTGTTATATCATCAACTCTCATACCTGAGTTGTAATTTAAAGGGACAAACAAAACTTTAATAAACCCCAACATTGTCTTAAACTATTTTTATCGCAATGATATTTAAAAATATAAACATAAAGTTTGTCATAAACTTCATAAGTTGTAGTTCTTATGCTATGTTAGAAAAATAAAACATGTTTAAAGTTAAATGGAAAATCTCTATAAAATAGTATAATTTGAATAACAGTAACTTAATATGATGAAGGAGATTGGTGGACTAAAATAAAATTGCTGTATGAATTTGGTAGTGAATGTCACAATCATTTTGGATTTGTCATTTATTTTCAGTTTTCTCCATCACCAATATTCTCTCATTGAACAACAGAGAAACCTTCATTCATACAGAGACTGTCATGTCAACTGGTCTTCACTGGACATGGAAAAACCATTTGTGTATCACATGTATCTCTATCATTTTTTCTCCAGCCTCTCATTGTAAATATGGTGCTACTTGTGCCATCTTAATTATAAAATAAGGCATCAAAAACCCTGGCAGAGCCAAGCTACCAAATGGTCTTCCACATGCTCCAGTGTGTATAATTCACAATGATACTTTAATATTATTTAAGTAAGGCACAAAGATTAAAAAAGAATTCACAAAACTTAAACATTCAAAACAGAGCACTGTTGAACCTTGAGAGTGTTATCTATTGAACCCCTATTTGAAGTTACATTGCCTGAATTGTATTTGTTTATCCATCTAGAAGGCTTACTGAGCTCTGGTTAGACCTGAATTTAGCTTTATTGTCACAAAAGCTGCTCCTTATACCTCCCTAAGATTAACAGAGCAGCTGCATTTCAACAAATAACTCTTTTCTCTATATAGTTTTAAATATTTATCTATGTTTGACCTAGGAGCCCTTGATGATTAAATCTCTTGATTTATTTTTAATTTTGAAGGTTTAGAAAAATTTAAGGACGTTAACTACTTCTGAAAAGTTTAACCAGACACATGCAGTGTGTCAAACACATAGTGAAAATCAGTTCTCTCTAACAGGTGTTTATAAAGAAAAAATAAATGTATCTACAAGAGAAAGTAAATGGCATTGGGATAGATTATTAAAGATAAAATTGAAGCAGGGCTAATGCTTTTTTTGTTTCTAGGAAACATATATGAATAAATGTTCTTAAAGAATTTACCAGACTTATGTATATAATACCTAATGTTTATTTTCTTACACAAATTTTGGCAGTTTTACATGTAGAGAAATCAAATTCTTAGATATGGCCTATAGTTATTGTAGAATTATATTCCTATAATTATTTCCTACCCAGAATCTCTACCACTTGGGAAAATACTGCATTTGCCTTACTCATGTTATTACAATATGACGCAGGTATGCTTAAAGAGCACCTTAATTCAATCTCATTAAAAAGATCACTATGATATTGACTTTCTCTAGTGGAGAGGCAATAATTATTCATTCAGAATGTACTGAGTGTTGAACAATGTACAAGACACTGTGAGATTTACAAAGAGTATGGAACACATTATTGTGGCTGAAAGACCACACTGTGTATGTAAATCTCAAGTGACTTCCTTTTCTCAAGTAATGTTCACAGCATCACAGACATTCGGAACATTGGAACCTCAAGGGTACCTCAACCTTCCCCTTCCCCTTTATTTTCTTGAAGAGAACACCAAGGTGTCTGGAGACCAAAATACCAAGTCAGAATTAATTTCAATAAAATTCTAGTAGAGGCAAAGAATTTCAGCAATCTCCCAGAGTCCATTAACAGCAGGATTTGATTGGTGTACCTGATGGCCTTAAATGTTTTTTTCTTGTCTTTTCCTGAAAAGCGAGTTGAAGAAAAGTGTAAGGGAAATTTCCCAGGAGAAACTTATTAACAGCTAGTTACACAACTTTGGTTTTAAAATTACTCCTTACTAAAGAATAAAGAACGTTTTATTTTTATTTTTTTTTTTTCATTTTTCTTTTATTATTCATATGTGCATACAAGGCTTGGTTCATTTCTCCCCCCTGCCCCCACCCCCTCCCTTACCACCCACTCCACCCCCTCCCGCTCCCCCCCTCAATACCCCGCAGAAACTATTTTGCCCTTATCTCTAATTTTGTTGTAGAGAGAGTATAAGCAATAATAGGAAGGAACAAGGGGTTTTGCTGGTTGAGATAAGGATAGCTATACAGGGCATTGACTCACATTGATTTCCTGTGCGTGGGTGTTACCTTCTAGGTTAATTCTTTTTGATCTAACCTTTTCTCTAGTTCCTGGTCCCCTTTTCCTATTGGCCTCAGTTGCTTTAAAGAACGTTTTAAAACAAACATTTCCATGAAATTATCCCATGGTTGGAAGCCGACACCATTCTCTTGGGTGTGTGTTAAATCTGCCCCTGTGATCTATTTGTATTTTCATAGATTCAGCATTTTCTACTGTGAACCTCAAATATTTTAAACCTGGTCTCTGAAAACATGGGTCTCCTATAAGCTTCCCAAGCTGTCCTTTCTCCTTTTTTCATGTACTTAAATTTAGCTCACTGTGTATGATGGGTTTCTGTCTTGATTTTCTCATCTGCATCCCTACATTTTTTTAACTGAAAATATTTTAATAGATTTGATCTAAAGAAACACATTAGCAAACATAGATGATGCATCCCTACATTTGTAAGGGTTTTGACTTATGACTTGAATCCTTTGCCTTGTAGCTGATATCTTACCAGTTAGCTGTCATTCCAAAGAACTAAATTCTCAATGCATCTTCTACATCATTCAAATCAAACAAGTATCTTTATATGAAATCGTCAGTCTCATGGCACATGCTATGTTCAAGCGAGAAAGCAATGCAGTCACCTGGTGTTTGGATTAGTGAGTGAGGTCTGGGAGCATAATCTAAACTGAGGAAGATGTTGAGAATCACCTCGCTGCCTCTCAACTGCTGATGGACTGCTACTGTTCGGAGATGATTTACCCTGAGTCCATTTCTCCATATTGAACATTCCTAGATTTTAATTGAAGATGGGGCTTTGCTATACTTCTTTAGATACTATCTGATTTTCTCCTACATGGCTTTCAGAAGCCGGCCTGAAAGATAACTTTGTTTTTGTATACCTGGCCTTATCCATTTTTTTTTTTTTAGCAGTACTGTGGTTTGAACTTAGTGTCTTGTGCTTGTTAGGCAAGTTCTCTATCACTTGAGCCACGACCCAAGGCCCTTTTTGCTTTAGTTTTGCGCTTTTGCATGGGGCCTGTCTGGGGCTGAGATCCTCCTAGTTCTGCCTTCTGTATAGCAAGTGTTATAGGTGTGTGCCACCAGGCTTGTCCTCACCCATTATTGCTGTGCTCCTTCTCCTTGATGGATTACCATAAGTCATGATAACCTCTCTATGCCCCAGAGAATTTGTTACACTGAAAGAGAGCTGCAATTCACATTCATTAATT